TATATATATATATATATATATATATATATATATATATATATATATATACCTATATATGTGTTTGTGTGTATATGTATATATTATAAAATGTGTGCAAAACAATTGAATGTGTTACATTATTGAATCTTAGATGCTAAACATAAGAAAATATTTAAATATTTTAACATTTAGAAAAACAAAAAGTAACAAGAATTGATTTTGTATTAATACATATTTTACTGTTATGTGTATTTCATATATTTAAAAAATATTATTTTGTAAATTGTTATTATTAATATTACAATTATTTAAGAGCAACAAAGTAAAAATATAAATTAATGAGCACAATTCACATATGATTATATTTAGATACCAATTGTTATTTAAAAATATTTTTAAAAAATAATATTCTTTTTGAATGAAACTCAATATAAAACAGTGTTATTATTGATTGAGCAGTATTATCACGTCTCGAAATTTTTACGCGGCAGGTAACAATACGCAAAGACGAAAACTGGAAACATTAAGGGAAGAAACTGGAATTTCACGTTGTTTTCTCGGCGTGTGGAAGACTTTGGTATGCTAAAAATATCTCGCAGGTAAATATAAAGTTACCAGAAAATCTTGATTTTCGCGAGATTGTGCACTGTTTTCGTAGCGCACATCCTCCTTTTATATATTTTACTTTAAATTTTTGCTTCAAACTTTTCAATTGTTGTAATTTAATTTAGGTTTATCAAAATTTGAGCGTATCAATTTGTTCTATATGTGATACATGAATAATTATATAAAACGCATAAATAATTACAAGCACCATGGAACTAATTATAAAAAATATTAATTATACAGATAATATATATATATATACATATATATATATATATATACACATGTAAGTATGTATTGGGGATTAAAATCGCTGACAAAGGTTTTGCCAATAGCATTCACACTATTTCGAAATAATTTTGACGAAAAGTTATTTTTACTGATATGCGAAAGTCAGTAAATATATTGACAAGTGTTTATTTAACAAATACAACGTAAACAATGTCAGCAAAAGCATTATCGGTGATTTTAATGTATCTCGTACGCTACATTTGCAATTTTCTAATATGCAATTTTATATGTAATTTCAGACGAGCTGAAAATTGATGTGTACATGCATATGTGTACATATAGAAGATTGTCGATTTTCCCTCCATAGACTCTCTACGTGAACACCAAGTGTTGTAACCTCGGATGAAGTGGGGGCCGCATATAAGACCCCGACGTTTGAAGGGGCCCAGTAGTCTCTAGTCACCGATACGACTGCGTTACTACGACTGGATCATTGTACATAGTGACGTCATTCTTTTTCTCTCTTTCTCAATCGGCGCCCATCCTTCGTCAGCATGAAGACGATAGTTCTTCTCCTGATCTGTTTCGGTGAGCTCTTATCATGATCTTTATCAGTTCAAGACAAACCGAGTAGCTAACACGAGATCCGAAATAAAGCTGAACTTTTTAATATCTTTTTGGAATTTTTTTTTATACGTAAAAGTGTTACGATAGAATCTGTTTATTTTTGCTGTGCACGACCATTTTATCTTTTCTGTTTGTCAATTTCAAATGAATAAAAAATTTGCAGTATTGAAAAAGTGAAAACTTTTCAATATTTGCCATATGTGGGACATATATACGTTGGTAAAAACTTATCAAAAATCCGCGTATTTTATAAATTTAATTTATATACTTTTAATATAAAATGAATAAAATAGTTAAGAAATATATTTATCTTTAATTTATGAAATATATATATATATATTATTATTAAAAAAACAACATTTTAATTTATATTATATATTATTTTCAATTTCTATTGTATATTTCCTGTTCTCTACTTTTTATATTAGTTATAATAGATAAGTAAGTTTAATATAATTAAAAGCTTTTAAGTTAAAAAATAAAGGTAAGATAATCGGGGAAAATAATTCTTTCGGGAATTGACGCGTTTGTCCGAGATCGTCTGCATCTAGTTGTCCGGTTAAACTGTTTATATCGGAGTCGAAGTCCGCTAACAGCGCGCTCGAAAGCTATCAGATCGAGCCGATTAAACGACATTTAAGTTGTGGACGACCGACCGACCGAGCGTATACGTACGGGAGCTCGGCCACTTTCTCACTTTCTTCGTTCGCGCTCGCGAGGTCGACCGGCATATCTTCAGGGACGCAGACGACGTGCCGCCTTGAAAACGTGCCGAGGGACCAGTCGACCCTCTGCCTTAACACGTTCACTCTTGTCTTCCTTAATTTTTTTTTTTTTACTTCGTTTTGTTTTCTGATGCTTTGCTGAACAACTAATGACGCAAAGCAGTCCGAACAAATTTGAAGGTTTTGACCCATAGAAATCTTTAAAGATTTGTTTTAACGAAAATGAGACTGAAATTTTTCATATGATCGTATAGTTATTCGATAATTTTTTCTCCCAAAAAGATTTCTTAGTTATATAACAGAAACTGATCCATTAAATAAGTATAAAATGCACTGGAGTACTTCTTACGACTCAGCGCTGATAAAATAATATTGAGACATGATCAGAATCGAAAATGCTAAAAAATTCAATTAGAGTTCTTTTTGTTCTTGTTAATATATAATTTCTCATTTATATTATACTTTAATCCTTTTGTCACAGGAGCTGCCACTGCTTTGACAAGGAAACAAGAGGCCGCTGAGCAAAGCCGTCGGAAAGTCGCTTCGGCCACAACGGCTCCGAAGAAAGAGGAGCCAGTGGAGGAATACGACGATGACGAGCTCCAGGACCAGTGTCCGGAGCCCAACGGATACTTCCCGGATGCGGAACAATGCGATAAATATTACGACTGCCGCGACAACAAGATAACGGAAAAATTGTGTCCCGATGGTCTTGTCTTCAATGATTTCAGCCCGCAGCACGAGAAGTGCGACTTGCCGTTCGGCATCGATTGCTCAAAGAGACCCAAGAGACGTAAGCAAACTCCTCTGTTGTTTATACATCGTGCAATGATTCACGAAATCGATCAAGTGCTTCAAGAGCATTATTTAAAAAATTTTAATATTACGTGTGCATTCTTTCAGTGATACATAATTTTTTCAAACCTTTATTTTACATAATAATCTGCTTTTGGTTATATCGAAAGAATTTTATACTTTTTAATTACTCCATTTTTATATATCTACTCCTTTCCGTAGAAAAGCCACAACCGTCATCACACTGTCCTCGCATGCACGGCTACTTCGCCCACGAGGACCCCAGGAATTGCAATACCTTCTATTACTGCGTGGAGGGCAAGTTCAACATGATCACTTGCCCGGACGGTCTGGTCTTCTCCGAGAAGACCGGCATCTGCAACTGGCCGGATGAGGCGCAGAAGAAGGGCTGCGGCTCCCGCGAGCTCTTCAACTTCACCTGCCCAAAGGTCGATGAGTCTGTGGCCGCGACGCATCCACGTTATCCCGACACTGAGGACTGCCAGTACTTCTATGTGTGCGTCAATGGTGAAGTACCGAGGCGAAGTGGATGCAAACTCGGCCAGGCATTCGACGAGCGCAGTGGAAAATGCGACTGGGCCAGAAAAATACCCGAATGGTACGAATTATGTACCGAAACTTGAATTTTATTTTTAAGGAGCATGAAAACTAAATAATGATACGTATCGATAACGTTTAGAAAATAAGAAACAGGTCGAAATTGTGCAAATAATTATCATTTTTTAGTATTTAGTCAAAAATTATCTCTCTCTTGTTATCTAAAAATAATGCAGATTTTTTGCTACAAATTGTTTTTTATAAGTAATAACAAGTTTATAAAATTAATATAAGTAATCAGAAATATATATACAGATGCCAAGTATTCTGAGCAAAAAGTACATTTAAGTAAAAAATTAAGTCAAACTTAATCCCCTTATTAAAGAAATTAAAAATTAAACGCATTAAAAAAGATAAAAAACTTGAATAATAAAATATAGATTTATAATTTAAATTATGATATACATTATACAATCAAAAACAGAGCAATTTTTTCTTATAAAGAGAAGAAGGAAATTCATTTGCACGTCATTTTCAGAATTGCGCGTCTCTTTTATGTACATCAAATTCATCGAAAGATTAAAACAGTTTAATTTAAATACAGCTTACGCCACTTTACATATTCCTCTTCTCATTTATCATTAAACATATATCTAAAGCAAATAATTTAATTGCAGCAAAGACTGGTACAAAGGTCAGCTGACCGACGAAGAATTGGATGCCTTGGAGAATCCACCACCCAAACCCAAGCCCACCGGTGGACCAAGCAGAAGAAAAAGTACCAGACCGACCGTTTAGGGTCAAGATGTTAGATTAAGCATGTAGGTTTTTAAGTTTTTATTTCTAAACCGCCCTATTGTATAATAAACTTATCTTTACTACAAACACATGTCTTTCAAAATATATTCCGTCATAAATCCTGTCTTCGAAATAGGTTGCTTAGACAGATGATACATCGTAAATCTAGCTTTAAACAGTTTAGAAAAAGTAAGTAAGCTGTTAATTCTGAGGAAAATTATTCGAAGTCTGCTGGTCGATACCCCGGTGACATTTTTACATTTTTATTTAATTAATACATTATATTATATTACTATTATTTATTTATTAATATCCGTATTAAGGTCTTCAGCTTTTTGATTTTTGATGATAATAAGCCTATTTGGAAAAAATTCGCAAGATTCTCTTAAAATCTGGAATCGGAACTCTTCCGCAATAAATTCAGATCGTGTCTTAAATTTACGTGAGCGGTGAAAGTACTCGTACGATATCGATTGACATTCCTCGCATTTCATGCATGGGAAACGTTTCCGAAATCCAGCTTTAACGTAATGCTTTCGTAAGCCTGAAGATCGTGAGACAAAGATCACTTTACATAAGTTGAAGACAGTGAATATTGTTAGAACATCGATATTAGACAAAACTTCTTAGATAAGATTGCAAAACTATCTATAAACTGTAATATTAAATATAACAAGTAATAAATATATTTAATGTAATAACACATTAGCACCATTCAATTAATTAATACATTGAAATTTATTGTGGTGATAAACGGTCGAACTGGACGCTTATCACGAATTGAAGGAAGGTCCAGGTTCGAACCCTAAGGTGACTAGGGTGATATTTTTAGCAATAAATTCTTTGCAGTAGTTTAATAAAAAATGCTTATTACTATTATTGTTAAATCAATTATCGATTTAATCATGCAAATTTACACTCAAATGTGTTTCAAGATTGACAAATAATGCGTGCAGTTTACTGATTGTGAGTAGAAAAATTTATATAATTTACACAGAAAAAATATTGTTAGGCCACAAAGATTCAATTTGCTTTACCAGCAGAGATGATTAAAATAAAACCACATAATTGTGAACTTAAGATCAATAAACTACGTATTGAACAATTCTCACTTTCCCGGAAAAAAAACATCGGAAGACGAAGCGTGAGTGAGAGCGAAACGGGAAGAGCATCGTTGTGCATGACGAAGAAAAACTTTGTAATTGACTCAATTGCTGCAATGATATATCGTGTTATTGCGATGTACATTCCATTTAAAGATCATGGAACATTATTTAAATGATTAAAATAGTCTGTGTGTTACATTTCTAATTGATATAATCAGCATATCAACTCGATAAGAAATATAGTTACTTTTATCTAAAGTAGTTACAATTTTATTTTTTATTAAATTATTAACAAGAAATAATAAAAAATTATGATAAACTTGAGCAAGCAATTAATTAAATCCGTAAAATGTTTTCTAATAACCTTATACCTAGTCTTTAATATTTTATATTTTTGTAATATTTTTTTAAAAATATTTTATAAGATATGTTGGAAAAAGCTTGCACACACATATAAAATTGTCTTCTATATTTAAAATAAATAAATAAATTTTTTAGATTCAAAATTTGATGTACTTTAGTTTAAGGGGTTAGACTAGTGTGACGGGCGTTTTTTCAGGGTAATTTTCAGGAATTAATTTCTAACAAAATATTTATGAAACACCAATAATTTTTTTTTATTATCTTCTATACACATTGAAGAACGTGTCAAAATTTTGTTGTCTAAAAAAATATAAAACCCGTTGAGTTAAGCCGCTTCGCACATCCCTATGATTTTCGGATGGTGTACATGATTTCGCGAAAACCAGTCGTCTGAAACAAAAATAAAAAATATGCTCATTATTTATATTGTATTGGCTTTCGGATGACGGAGCATTTTATTTTTTTTTATTTTTGGCGACGAGAAAAAAATTCCTGAATTTTGCCCAATTGCAGTAAAAAATTCAGGAATTTTTTTCTTATCGTCAAAAATGGAAAAAAAATAAAAATAAAATGCTCCGTCAACCGAAAGCCAATACAATATAGATAATAAGCATATTTTTTATTTTTGTTTCAGACGACTGGTTTTCGCGAAATCATGTACACCATCCGAAAATCATAGGAATGCGCGAAGCGGCTTAACTCAACGAGTTTTATATTTTTTTGGACAACAAAATTTTGACACGTTCTTCAATGTGTATAAAAGATAATAAAAAAAAAAAATTGTTGGTGTTTCATAAATATTTTGTTAGAAATTAATTCCTGAAAATTACCCTGAAAAAACGCCGGTCACACTAGTCTAACCCCTTAATAGGTAATTGACGATATACAGACTTTTATGTCTTAAGCTTGTTGTGAATATTTTACTAAATTAATAGGCGAGTACTATAACGGACAGTAACATTGTCGCAGAAATCAGTTTTTCATTGTCAGAACAATCGAAGCGAGAGCGAAGGTGAATGTTAAACGACAGTTAAGAGAAGAAAGCCCAACAAAAACTTGTCGTTTCCTGGTAATCAGTGATGCGTAATCTACTATCCTCCATTTGAAATCGTTCGTTTAGAAATGCGGGCAAACGATTCTCCAAGATATCAACGCTTTCTTAGATTTTTAAAACGTTCATTTTCTTCATCTTGAGTTTATGATTTTTCCAGGCGTCGCTAGACTTTCGAATATTTAATAAAAATGATATTTATAAAGAAATATTTAAAAAATCGTCTTTTTTCTAGTCACTTTCATTTTTTATGTCATATATAATTTTTATCGTACACATTTTCTTTATAATTCATAAATCTGACATTTATTTCCCATATATTTTTATTTGTTCAATTATTTATATATATCTATTTTTATCAAAGTGCAATAAATTTTATTCTGCTTATCCATCTTGAGAAATTAATTAAATCTTCCCCCAGATGGAAAAGATAGTATAACTGAAATATTCATGAAATTTCCCAGCATTTATCCGTAATTGTCGTTGCGAAGCAGCGCGATTATGATTTGCATTTTTCTCATCAAAGAAAAACGGGACGAAGGACGTGTCGAAGTGAGAGCGCTGAGAGGAGAGAGGAGAGTAAAAGTCTCCTTTCTTTCTCTCTCTCTCTTTCTCTCTCTCTCTCTCTCTCTCTCTCTCTCTCTCTTCCCTTCTCCTGTCTTCTCAATCTTCATTCTCGACGAGTGTCCATCGATGAAAAGCGACGGCGAAAGTGGGATTTGCGTTGTGGTAATAGTGGGGATCCGTGAGGTATACCCAGCCGGCGAGTAGCCGAAGAGCTGCAGTTTCGCGAGGGCGACCTCGGGCCAATTCCAAAGAAGGATAAAAAATTAAATAGCTTAATTTTAGCCGTCCGTCCGTTTTAGTGAACCTCAGTGCAATCTAGGATCATCCCGCGACGATCCGACGAAAGAAAGCACGAGCAAACGAGGAAAGAATGATCACGGCCGGGATTGTCGCGTTGATAGGCGCGATCGCGCTGACACGTGAGTATCAATCGTGATTGTCAAAAAACGGGAATGAAAGAAATAACGTTCTAAAGTATTGCAAAGAATGTTGTTCTTGCATCATTGAAAATCCTTGAAAATATTCTCTTGTAACATCAAAATTAATTACTGCTATTCTTAAAAAATTAATTGTTAGATGTCGATGATATTAATATTACTATAAATTATCACTTATTTATTAATAACTGTTATTTATAATGTAATCTACTTCAAACAAATTTAATTGTACACTTGATGTAAAATTCTCTAGAAAAAAAGTAAAGTAAGTTTTATTGGTAATTTTGTAAAAGAATATATATTTCTTATGAGCACTTTTCTTATGAGTTTGTGCTCCATCTTCCAAATTAACTTTGCTAATTAAAAGTAAAAGAAAAATAAGAATATTTCAGTTATCCCATTATAACGTAAGCATTTCAGTTACAAAATAAGCATTGATGACTTTCTTCGAATACTATATCTTTACAAATTCTAATTATACAATTAAATATAATATACTTAAACTTTCCAAATACTTTTTTGATACTTTTGATACGATAAATGTGTTTAATGTTACAGCAAAAAAAATCTAATGTGCATATACGTCGTATAAATGTGTTATATAATAATATACCTGTACATTTCTCTGACTTTTTAATTTTTATAGTAGTCGCACAAAACTCTGTTACTGAATTTTTTGATATTGAAAAATCTCAATAAACTATTTTTATCACGGTTATCAATAAAATGTGGGATTGTTATTACTGAGATGTTAGTTAACATTGGATATTAATAAATTGCTTAATATTAGTGAATTATATATCAACCGATAGAATTGCAACAAGAATGAAGGAGAAAAGTGTGAAAGAGAGTAGCTCTCGGGCTCGGTGGAGATATCCGTTAGAATTAGTGCGGAGACAGTGCGAGAGCGAACTTTCTAAATCGTAAATGTCAGTTTTCTCGTTCGGCGAGTTGCATAAGTATATGGTCAGAGCGCGCCCAAGACAAAATTACGTAACAAACGACGAAATAATGCCCGATCCAAGAATTCGACGACGGCAGGTCGAACGGGTTCGACCACCTCCGTGTCTTACCGGAAACGCCAGATCGATTTCCGCCTGCGGTGTAAGACCGCGGTGGAATATTAATCGTCGGCAACGTTTACAGACGCCGCGTACAATTGCCCGAACAAGGACGGCCAGTACGAGGACAGCAGACAATGCGACAAGTATTACGAATGCAACGACGGCGTGGCAACGGAGAAGCTGTGCCCGGACGGTCTCGTGTTCGATCCCCTGAATCGCAAGGTCAACAAGTGCGACCACGTCTTCAACGTCGACTGCGGCGACCGTCTCGAATTACGTAAGACATTAAAACGATATTTTGTGAAGAAACATATTCTAAAAAATAAACACATCCGTTGCTGGCGTCAAATAAAATTTCTAATTTAATAATTTTCTCTCTAATAACATTATCTTCGTTGGTAATTACAAATTAAATTTAAAGGCAAATTATTATTTTTACGATTATACAAAAATAATATGTGTTTATTTTCATCTATTTATATCTATGAAAGAAAATCACGTTTTATATATTTTTTACACAACTTAAATATATAA